TTGAGACAGTGTCTCACTATGCAGTTCAGGCTGGCCTTGAACTCACTTTGTAGCCCAGGCTAGTCTCAAACTTGCAGTGATCCTTCTGCCTCAGCCTCCCGAGTGGTGGGATTACAGGTGTGCGCCACCAGGCCTGGCTCTGACTTTTAATGTAGGAGTTTGTTTCTTAACAGAGGCCATGGAAAAAATAAAAGGTAGAGTAGAATTTAGAACAATAAGACACATCTCCTTACAGTGTAGCAATCTACCAAAGAACAATTTTTAGTGGGCTAAAACTTGGAAAGAAATGTTACTATGTTTTATCCACAACTACACAGATGAGTTATAATCACCATGCATAGGGTCACATACTTGAAGAGAGCAGTGAGCAAGTGACTCAGCTAAAGGCCAAGTTAACAAATTGTGCTTCTGTGGTCATTTGGGTCAACATTAATTCTTTGGGTATGCACTTAGCTTCTGCCCTGACTATAATGTGGAATAAAGGTCTACTCATATTTCAAAATTATAGTTTTGATTCTTGGGAACTAAAGAAATTTTTTATATACTTGTAATTCTTTAAAAAGCCTGCACTAGTGCTGAGTATGGTGGTGCACACCTGTAATTCCAACTACTGAGGAAGATGAGGCAGGAGAACGGAAAGTTCAAGCCTAGCCGGGCAATTTATCAAGACTGTCTCAAAATAACAAATGAAAAGGCCTCGTGTATGTAGCTTTGTTGTGGTTTACATCTAGATGTTCCCCCGAGGCCTCATGTGATGACAGGTAAGGCTTTGGGGAGGTGACTGGATCATGAGTGAACTATACTCACAAATACACTCATCAGTGGATTAGTACTGTGTCAAATTCTCCTGTACTTACTCATTTAATTCTTAGCTGAGAGACAAGGAAAGGTGCAAAGACCCCACAGAAGCACATATTCTGGACAATGTCTGGCTTTCTGCTGAAGATACCTAGCAATCCATTGGGTCCATTTCCCTACATAGCTGGTTCACTTTTGTTCAGTCCTCATAATGGCCCAGGCACTCTCCTTAAACTCTCATTTAATTTTCATTACAATCTCATGAGGTAGGTTTAATTAGCATTTCCATGTTTTTGGTGAGAAAACGAAAGCACAAGAAAAGGTAAGTAACTTACCCAAGGTACAAAGTAATAGGAGGTGGGGGCAGGAGGTAAAGCCAGGATCTGAGCTCAGGCTGTGCTGCATGAATACCCAGGCTAAAGAAAAGGAGTTAATAGGCCATGACCAAGTTAGACTCCAAGATACAGAACAGGGAAGACGCAAAGATGATTCCGAAGTGTGTCCCCTGATGGCAATAAGGGGAATGCTGTCCAAATAAACAGAAGGAAGAAGAGCTGGGTTGCTGTCTTTTTCCGACATACGGACTTTGAAGTGATCACAAGGTTTACAAGACCAGTTGGGTAGGAAATCAGGACTGGTTGTTTTTTTTTTTTTTCAGTGCTGGGAACTCATGCATGCTAGGCAAGGGCTCTACCGCTGAGCTACAACCCCGGCTTGATTTTAATAGAGCAGGTTTAAATTACGGTATTGAAAACAGTAGCACGTCTGTGAGTGTTAGGAGACAGAAGTCCAGAGGGAAGAGAGGACACATGTAGGAGGGACTAGCGTGGAGCTCCTAATGGGCTGAGGAGGGACAGTCTCAGGGAGTAAAACCAAAGCTGAGTGGACTGGTTAGGGCGCTGAGGGCCAGAGAACAAGGCGCTGTCCTTTGGGTTTAAGCTGGAGTCAGAGTGAATATAACTGGTTTCTAGGTGCAGGCCGCTGTTGGCTTGGTCTAGGTGAATGGTGGCTGTTAGGCAGACGAGTTAAACATTAGCGGGCCTGAGGAACAAGTCGGGGGGGGGGGCGCTCCAAACTAACACGCATTCCCAGTTAGGTAAAGAAAGACTTCAACACAGAACCATTTGTTAGGTCTCAGACCTAAAGCAACCCCACAGATCACAATGACACCCTAAGGTTAGACACTGTGCACATTCCTTCCGATACTTGGCGACCTGGCTGTCTCACTCCAGAACAAGGCACACACATTCTGGTGGCCGCAGCCTACAGCCTAATGATATCAGAAAAGTGTTCTTTAAACCCCTTCCTGCCTGCGGCTGGGACCCGGCTTAAATTAAGGATTTACCTTTCCTAAATTTCTTACATGATGAAAGCCCCTGGAAACACTGACCATCTAAAAAGAAACAAGAAAACGTTTTGCCCTTCCAAAGTAACTTTTAAGTGAAATGTTGCTAAACATCATAATTACCCTAGTTTCCTAAACCCTAGGAGTGACTTTTGTGTGCTTACAAAGTATTCAAACTCACACTTGGCCCAGATGCCTTCCTGGCACCGCTCACCTTGCTATCTTTCTTTCAGGAAGTTCTAACTATACTTCTTCATGGCCTGTGTGTCTTGACTGAATTCTTTCATCAAGGGCACATTGGATCAAGGACTAAGGGAGTGAAGGTCTGGTTCCTCGCTGCATTAGGACCGGGCTTCCTAGTGACAGTGACAACTAGACCCAACTAACATTTGAGGGGCCTGAGGGTAAGAGTGTCAAGAGGGCCACATACCATGTAAACAATATTTAAAGTTATAAATCGATACTAAACTGTCAAAATATACTTTATCCTACCTTGACAAATACATTTTCATAAGGACCTGCAAGGTCAGTTTAATTGAGAATTTTCAGACTCCTTGGAATTCCCAGTGGACCGTGGAGGCCCAGAAGAATAGGCTCTGGTCTACGGCCTGCCCTATTTCTCTTCCCACTGCAAACACTTTGGACTAACACAGATATTTTGAACGTTTACTTTTTTTTTTTCTTTTGAGACAATGTCTTGCTATGCAGTTCAGGCTGGCCTCAAACTTGCAGCAATCCTCCTGCCTCAGCCTCCAAAAGTGTGCGCCACCATGCCTGGTTTGAATATTTGAATCTTAATCTTGACTTTTAATGTGAGTGGAGGCGGGCCAGCATCTATCATGTGCAAGGGACATGGGGGTGAAAAGAAGCAAAGCAATGACGCGGCCCTCATGAAACCTGTTTAGAGTGTAGTGGTAGAGAAAGGCAACAAATGCGAGCGACAGGTAGGGTCGATTGCTCATCGAGGATCTCTTCTCCCCGCGGAGGTTCAAGGTAGCCAATGGCTGTGAACTCGGGCGCCAGCCGTCGGCCTCTGGAATGGTGCTCACTACGCCCGGGCGTTCGCACAGCAGCCCTCCGCACCGCGCCGGCCCGGGCCTCCCAGGGCAGTCTTGTCGCGCACCAAGTGCCCGGAGCGCCGCGGCGGAGGAACAGGACAAGGCGCGGCTTCCCGCAGGAGCTCTGCGGTCACCTGCGGAGGAGCTCGGGGAAGGGGACTCCGTGACGGTCGGCGGGGCTCAGGCGGGCCTTCCCGGAACGCCGCCGAAAGCGGCCGCCGGCTCCCCGCGAAGGACCACAGCGACCCCTGGCTCTCCCCGGAGCGGTCCGCGGGC